AACCACAACTGGGCCATTTGTGGCATCGACAGATTTGAGCCACATAAACCAAACCACAACTGGGCCAGTTGTGGTATTGACAGATTTGAGCCACATAAACCAAACCACAACTGGGCCAGTTGTGCCATTGACAGATTTGGGCCACATATGCCAAACCACAACTGGGCTAGTTGTGGTATTGACAGATTTGAGCCACATAAAGCAAACCACAACTGGGCCAGTTGTGCCATTGACAGATTTGGGCCACATCAACCAAACCACAGCTGGGCCAGTTGTGGCATTGACAGATTTGGGCCACATAAACCAAACCACAACTGGGCCAGTTGTGGCATTGACAGATTTGGGCCACTTAAACAAAGCCACAAGTAGGCTGGTTGTGGTATTGACAGATTTGAGCCACAAAAACCAAACCACAACTGGGACAGTGGCATACCATCCTAAAAACAGTGCCATCATTGCTAAAGCTGGCCCAGGTTGACAAACCACTTACCATGCCAGCTGGGCCAGCTTGACACCAGTTCTGGCCCACACCTGTCTGCTGTGTGGCAAATTTCTGGTTTATAATAAGGATGATCCATAATATCTAATGTGAAAATAAATGTGTTTCTTGTTTTAAATGTGTATGTTTTATACATTTGATTGTATTTCTGAGCCATCACAATAACAAGAAATGGCTTCAACTGTTGAAACATAAAATAAATATCAGCAGATTGTAATTGTTTGATCAGTGCAAGATTTTTGTGGTGTAAATATTAAGGAGTTTTTTTTTTTTAGTTCAATCATAAGGTAGGGGTGTGACTTAAAACGTCACGGTCCTTTAATATTCCTCTGATCTCTCATATTCATCAGCAGGGCGGGTTTTGCATGGCTAATGACCCAAATACAACCCTCTTTATCTGCGCCTCAGGCTACAGTTCACACAGAGGTTCAAAAAGGTCGAAATGACCATATGAGAATCAGATGTTGAGATCAATGACACAAAAAAGCTGAACACAAACTTCAGTGTTTTGCTTACTGTTGGCAAAATCCAGAGAAGATGAGGACTTGTGCGTAAAAGAGCAGAAACACGTGATGCACATCAACAAAAGTTCAAATCGTAGCTTTTAAGGAGCGATTATTTGTTTATTTTAATGGACAAGCTGCTGCTTTATGTGATCATAAATAAAAAGTCATCTCAGCATGGAGGAGGAAAAAGAAGCGCTTCACCTGCAGGACAGGAGAGTAAATAAATAGGACTTACTCCGCGCGCAGATCTCASCAGAATGACCACCGGGAGGACCCAAAACCTGCAGGAGACACAAACATTTAACTTCATTCTGTCGGAAACAAGGAGAAACTGCGCAGAGGTGTGGAAACTCTTACAGGACGTTCATGTTTGCGGCAGAGGTGGACCCGCAGACTCCCGTCTCCTCAGCAGCAGCCGGACTCTTCAGACGCGCTCACCGAAGCCCCTGTTCCCTTCTTCTCTCTGTCATCTAACCGGAGAGAGGAGAGCCGCAGAAAGTAGTCCCAACACACGGCGCAGCTCCAACTCCCCCCAACGCAGAGTCCACACACAGCCCCTAAAAGAAACCTGGTTATGATGGAGATTGAATCACAAATACGTAAAAGAATCAAACAATAAGATTAGGTGAAGTTATCCAACCTACCGAAGTGTGAGCGGTGTGYTCCCTGCTGCCTCTCCGCGCTGCAGCGCTTCACAGCCAGCAGGAGAGGAGGAGGAGGAGGGGCCAGCACACATGAGATCCATGCCTCCAGAAGCCAAAGCAAGGGCCACAAGCAGGAGGCTGAGAGCCAGGAGTCTGAACCAACAGGGACTGAGGTTTTACCTGGAAAAATAAAATAAAAGAACTATTAAAGGCCATCATCTCAAAGTTTAGCATGATGTGAGCTAAAGGAGGAACATTCTGTGCATTCTGCATTAAAGCAAGTTAAATACTGCTTTATCTTTTTTAACTTTCATATTTTTATACGTCAAATCAACAAAATAATTCAAGAGTTTATTTATTTTATTATTACAACAACAACAACAACAAC